ATAAAAAATACAAATACTAAATTTCGAAAAATTTATTTCTTCTCTTTTTCTTTAAGCATTCTGAAAGTAAATAAAAAGTATCACTTTCGAAACATTTTGGTATTTCTCACAATCATTTTAAATAATTATCGCCTTCATTTCATAACGCCCCAAACGGCGACGTAAAGATGCTGTTACTGGTAGTTCGGTCTGAGGTTCGAATCCCGCGAAAAGGCTGGTTGCATGGGTTTTTCGTGTTTTCCCATGTGTAAGTGTATACGAGCCAGTTTCCCTTAGAAGTCCTCCACGAAGGCATCCCCCTTTAGGCAGATAGCCCTCGTGTGCTTGCCATAATTAAAGAATCCAATCCAATCCTTAATTAAATATAATTGATTTGTAACTTCTACTAGACGACGTTAAGAATTGAAGTGCAATAAATAATATCGTGTGCAATCTTGATTAATATAAAATTAAAATATTTGCATTCAGACAGAAAGTTTTTCGAAATATTTCAATCTTTAAGAAGGATTTATTATAACCATAATAATTACTTATTATATTACTGAGATTAGGAATCAGTTCTTGACAATTACATTCTAAATTAGATTTTGAATATTAGATTAGAAAATGAAGCACGCTCAAAAAAACTTAATAAAAAATGATAATTCCTTTAATAAACATCGTATCCTCGTTGTTAATTGAATCCAGAATGTTGGGGTGTCGTTTATATAATTATTCTTACTTGTCTACAGAACCTGCTGACTTATCCAGCGATTAAGTAGTGCAGATCATTTTACATACCATTGAACTTCCATTAATTTCAGTCTCTAGGGGTGTATTTATTCATAATTTGACTTTTATAAAATGATTATTCAAATCTTATTCTCTATAAAAATATACTGCTTTAAAAATGGATGATAGTAGCTCCGCTCTTTCAGCCACTTCAAAAGCATCATTTGTTTAGAAATAAATTGTGCAGTTAATGTCATAAAATTCAAGTAAATCAAACGAAAATTCTCGTTTTAACAATCGATTAAACGAAGGTAAAGTAGCAGCGATAAAATGCCGAAGGTAAAATTTACTCTTAGAAAAAAAAAAAAAAAAAGAGAAATTAAAAAAATATTAAAAAATTTATTTAAAAAAACTTTTCATATAGTATTATAAATATTTATTACGCATTCATTGAGGGAAAAATGTCATATAATAATTCTCCGAAAAATTTACTTGAAATTTAAGGTTAAAAATAGCTGTGGCAATACAGTGTAACAAAAATCCCTAGACCACATTTGGCGTTATTATCGCTCAAAAAAAAGATGCCAAATTTCAAAACGCGAAAATATGTAAATTTGTGTATATCTTAGAAAATTTTAAAAAAAAGTCTAATTTTGAAGTATGCTTAAAAATATACCTACTTTAAGATGATGGTAAAAATTTAATAGGTTATAATTCAAAATTTTTTCGAAAAAAATTTATTAAAAATTATTTAAAATAGAAATTTAAAAAATAAAACACAAAAATGGTAAAATTTATTTGGAATTGACCTAAATTTCAAATGTGAGAGAAAATCAAAAAAGTTAAAAAAAAGAGATATAAAAATATTGCCAATTCAATTAACATTGAGGAGCTAAGTTTTGAGAGCTAATATTTCAAAATACTTGTACGATTTTTACAAAACTTGGTATTCTGGCATAATTTGAGTCGTAGAATCGAAATATGTAAAAAAATTGGTATGTTATTTCAGAAAAAGTCCGATTTTGGTCAAAATACCTGTTAGAATAGTGCTATATATAAATCTAATATATATCCTAAGTCGTGCTTTCGAGACATGAAGAACGCAATTTGAATTTCGTGAATCGCCCCAGTAGAACGGGAGATATAGCACTGTCCCCCCCTTTTTTTTTTGAGCAGTGTACATAGTTCATTATATTTTTCACCATCGATCATATTATTTTCTAAACTAGTAAACTATTGTTATTGTAATGTAGGTGCTGTTGTAAGATTGGTTGTCGGCTGATAACATTTTAGATTTTGTACAGATAGATGGATATTTCGCGGACCGACAGTTGAGAAACATTGTCCTAGGCTATAGCTCTCATTTTTACTGGCTTATGCTAATTTTCCTATCCCCATATATGGCATTAATATTCCTATTAATGGTTATTTAACTGAAGTGATAAAGCAAAATTTACTCCTTTATCACTTCCATTTAGCTAAAAAATAACAGTTAAAACTGAACTGCTTTTCTCCACATTTGCACTAAGTATAAAGACCTAAGTGAAATTACTACCTGCTTTTACAGCAAGTTGATACAGGTAGTTTATTCTATCCCCCTCCAACTTTTAATCAGTTCAAAAAGTCATAATATTTATGACATGGCTTAGCATACAAATTTATTGGAGCTAAAAATGTTTTAGTTAAAAAGGAGTTACGATAAATTTGCTTATATCCGACGTATGATTCAAATACCTATAGTCACAACCTTAAAGGCAAATTGATCTTTTGATAAATACTGAAAATGAGTTTTCAAGGAAAAATCTATTGAAATAATTATACACTGAAGAGCCAAAACATTATGATCATCCCCACATTTTTCAATGAACTCATCTGGATGTGGAGGGAACGCGATTAACTGCAAATGGTATTTAACTACTCCTGCAGAAGGTAAGGCATCATTATTGCACCAGGGTTGCCACGCTACCTGGAAAACTGGAAAAAGTCAGGGAATTCAAAAACTGACCAGAAATATCAGGGAATTAAAATATTTTAGTCAAAATCTTGAAAAGTCAAGGAATTTCATACGGCGATCTCCCCCGCCCCCCAAAAAATTTCCTCCTTGTTTTTTTTTTTTAATTACACTGCATAGTTAACTTTTGATTAATCAGGCGGTGTCTTGGGGTGAAAAAAGTTTATTTTTTATAGCAAAATGATGGGAAAGTTATTATAATATCATAAAACAGACCTTTTTTTGGAAAATTAATTATTTTTTTTTAAGTTAAATGTTTGGAAGAATAGCAAAAACAGAGGATGATGCCAGTCAAAAAACAAAAGTCCTAACCAACTTTTTTTTTTTTTTCCCCCTAAATGCAAGAATGAATTCAATCACATTGCTTAAGCTGTTTTGCAATTACTGTTCTTTAATATGATTTATAATTTACTTTCTTCATTTCTGATATTTAATTTCTCTTATTTACAATTTTTAAATTCTGCTTTAATATACATAATGAAATGAATTTATTCTCCACATTAATATGCTTAAAAACATATGCAAATGGCTAACAGTTCTACAGTTCTTTTTTTCGCAGGATGTCCTTAGATTAATCCAGACTTAAATATGGACTTCATAGCCTAGTACTAGAGAATCGATAATTTTTTTGAAAAAAGGGAAATATAGAGGATATGTTAAAACTGCAACATCTGGTTTTCAGACTAAACATACTTTTCTAAATTCAATGACGGGTATACAGGGGTTGGACAAAAATATGGAAACACCTTTAAAAAAACATGTTTCTTTGCTTAATATGGTGTAGGAAATCCGTTGGCATCCCAAAAAACTTGCAGTCTTCTCGGAATGGATAAATAACAGTTTTCGTATGTTGCCAAGGGAATATTATCCATTCTCCTGAAAACGGTGGCATTCGATACGAGTGGCGGGGATAACAAAACGCACTTCCGTTCAATGTAGACTAAAAGGTCGAATATTCAGGTTGGGACTGTGTGGCCAGGGGAGATGGGACAAACTCCTCGTGCTCAGAAACCAGTCCTGGATTGTGGCTTGTGAAAGGGGCTTTTCGTCTGGAATACACCCAGCACCATCGGGGAAACAAAGTTTGTCCATGGATGAACTTTGATCGGCCAAATGTTCACTAAGTTTGGCAGTCTGTGCCCTGACACAGTTATCATGGGGGCTAGCAGAGAACACGATATGGCTTCCAAACCATAACAGAACCCCCGCAGTTTCACTCTTGGCAAAGCATCTGTTGGGAGATGGCGTGTGAGACGTAAACTCGTCAGAAGTGGGAACAATGTGAACGTCTTCAGACCATATTATCGTTCCCATGCTTATAGTCAGGTTTGCTTAAACCCACTTTTGTTAATTAGCATCATGATGAGTGGTTCCAATTGCAGCACGGCCAGCAATTCCTTTTTTGAAGCTCCCTTCTAATTGTTTTGGTACTACAGGGTTCGTAACACAACATTCATTTCAGTAACTTTTGCAGCTGTGGTCTTCTTATTTTTCGTCACAAATTGCCTAATATCGTCTGTTACGATCACTCAGACAACCTTCGTCCGCGCTGTTTTGCAGTGTGTTTCCGCTTTTCAAATGCGGAATATCTTCGATCAGTACCTCTTGAAACATAAACACCTCGGCTACCTTGCTTACGGAAAGCACCTACCATACGTCTCCACAATTTTGCCCCGTTGAAGTCTGTTAATCTGACATAATGCATGACAACCTCACATAACAGCATTCCGACAACAACTGAACTGTTTAGCCATTCGAATTGTATAGGTGGCGTCATAGTCAAAACGCCAGCGCCACTACCATATTTCACAAAATATCTTTCTTTCAAACATATTTTTCACAAGGTGTTTCCATATTTTTGTCCATCCACTGTACTTGCCTATTTAGTAATGGCCACTCCTAAGGCATTTTATTGTGGAGGCAACTAATAGGCGACTGCTGCTGCCTCCTATGAAGGGAAAAACAGTTACAACCATGCCTTCTCCAGGAGTCAAACCCAGGCCCTTTGGTATCACATTAGGCTGCCCTAACCACAATACCCTCTAGGCGGCGACTTAACATACATAATCATGTACCTATATGTGAAAACGAAAGAAAAATTTGGGATTAGACTTATAAAACAGTCTTTCAATAGTTGTATGCTATCTAAACATCATCTGGGAATAATTTAAATATTTGAATAATATGGCTTTCTCCCCTGCAGTCAAAGAATTTGAAAACATAATTAAAAAATAGATTATGATATTATCATAAACCACCAAGTCAATGAATAAAGACATTTCACTTATAATTCTCTTTAATAAACCCAGTAATAAGTGTAGACCAGAATGCACTTTTTACAGTTTGTATTACAAAATTATCTGGTAAAGGAACTACTTCAGGTTTATCAGACAACATACATTTTTTGTGTCCTAATTGACCATAATTATTCCAGCCCCACGTCCACACCCGATTATTCTCTGAAAAAAAAAATATTTAATATTAAATATTATTACATATAAAGTAAAAAGTGAATGCCAGCTGCTAGAATTTTATAATACTCACATATATTTATCTCATTTTCAAAGTTTTCAACCATTTTGTAAATTTTTTGAATGAAATAAAAAAAGAGACAGATCTCATATTTGTTAAAACCTAATGTTCCTATTGTTAATATGATATTTTATGAAAAAGATATCTATCATGATATAATTTTCAGTAAAGAAGAATAAAAATAATCTCTAAAATACATCTAGTTAAAAGATTAAGCATGCACCATTCTCCATGTATGTGCATGATTTTAAAACTCTTAATTAAAACAATATTTATAATACACTTGTGCGCAAAATTAAAGAGAATTTGCATATTGGGTCAAATTTTTGTAAAACTAATGGACAAATTTTAATGAAATTTGGTATAAATATATATTTATAAAAAGAAAAGAGATTTACCGTTCAAAAGTAAATTTTTTGTACATATTATTAGCAAAGTTCACAATACAGGTATGACTGAAATCCATGTTGCAATATCAAACTAAAAATATGTCTAATATGGAATATGGTCCTCTCCTGAACAAGAGGTAATTGAGGAGTTTTGTGGCAGTGAATTCAAATGCTGCAGCAAAACAGTTTTCATCTCAGGAATGGTTCTTGGGGGGAAATGCAAGATGAAATTGCTCTCCCAGGAGCACCCAAATATGCTAGGGTCAAGGTCAGAATTAGGAGATCTGGCTGGGCAATTCCATGTAACAGTCGACCAGCTGAGCCTTATGTGGATACGTACTGCCATCCATTCACAGGAACCCAAAACCAACTGTGCCCCTGAAAAATAAAACTTAGGACTCTTCAGATCTCATCTTTATACTTTATAGTAGTGAGAAAGCCTTTGTCAAACACATTCAGGATGTGTGGCCATCCAACATAATTGCCTGCCCAAACCATTACACTGTAATGATCCTTTTCCCTGATAATGTGTACCAGGCTTCCTTCAGATACAAGTATGCCAGGAATCAAGTGTCCAAGCTGAATCTCGACTTATCTGTGTAAAAAGCACAGTGCTTCACTGAAGTCTGGTCCAAGGCATGTGTTATCTGCACCGTACTAAATACACTCTTTTGTGTGCTACAGTAAGTGAGATGCAAACAGTGGGTTTTCATGAATAGGGCTGTATGCCCAAAGCCTTCTGACAACTACAGACTGTGAAACTCTTCTATTGGCAGCATATAGCTCACGTGAGAAGTTGTAGCAGTCCTGTGTTGCTGTACTGAAAGTGTCAAACAATGATCTTCATTTGTTACAGATCTTGGTTGATCTTGCCCAAATCTTCCTGATATGAATCCAGTGTCTTGAAATCAATAAACATTGGGCATTATAACATATTATAATATATTATAATAGCATATATTATATTATAATCCAGTGTCTTGAAATCAATAAACATTGGGCATTATAACGAGCTCTGTAGCCCCCTGTACTTGTAATTGGCCTCTGCCTCCAATCTACTGACAATTCTCCATTTCATTCCGTCACCCATATTTGTGGCAACTCATTTTACTTGATACCTTGTAAAATTTACACAACTCTTGCAAGAAATATAGCAAATAGCGTGAAGGAGTATGAGCACAGAAATCGCCGAAAACTCCTCATGCACTTATATCCCTTCCACGATCACAGCTCCGCAGACACTTACTTATTCAACTCTGAATATATGAAAAATTCTTTGGTAGGATAATTAGTACCTTTGATTAAGACACAATAACACGCCGAACAAATACTAATTCAGAAGTCAAACAACAAAATCACAGTTATATTTTCAAATTTTCACAGGACTAGTTTTGATGGTTTTACCGAACCATCATCGCAAACCGCTTCAAAAGTGCAATAAAGAAAGCTGGACAAGAATAAGCAAGTGGCGCCATCTGTTGGCGAAACCAGAACTAAAACAATTTCTCTAAGCCGAAGGCAAATTTGATTGGAATTAGGATCGTTAACGCACAGAAGATTTTTTGAATGTGAAATGCCTCTAGAAAATCCAGTCTCCAATGGAAGAGTTTTTTAAATTTTGGCAGCAGAAAAATTGAAAGTGTGATTTCGACCAAAATGTGAGTAACAGAAGACTTCTGTGTTTCTTTTTTTAACATATGCCTCATGTTCTTTGACGCGAAATTTTAAGCTCTCTTAGTTTGGCCCATGTAAATTACACCACACTGGCAAGAATCCTATAAATACCCCAGGAATTCTATACGTGGGTCCTGGAGTATAGAATTTGGAATTTATTGATGAGAATAAACAACCCGAAGTTAAATTTCTGCAAAATAGGCAACTTTATAGCTAATTGATGCAAAGAATGGAATGACACAGAATTTTTAAATCTCCTAAAATAGAGTGTGGCTTTTAGTGTGTGAATAGAATTTTTAACTGCTTGATTAATAATGTTTGAAAAGCCCCTGTCAATAGCTATTGCTTAATAATTTAGTTCTTTCATCAAGGGTAGTTTGAGGAGCAAACTTGAAGAGCACGGAAAACATAGGAATAAAATGAAGCTAACTTTTGTTTATCGGATGACATGATTTAAAGTGTGGTGAAGGCAAACCGATGAAGGTTTACGGTAAATGAGTACTGAACTTGGATGTGTTACTGTGACCAGAATGTCGAGAAAGAAGAGACTGCAAGTCTCAAGTTCAAAAGTGAAATGAATAGCAGGATCAATATTCATTGTTGAAAGAACTTTATTTAAATCATCTTTATTACCTTCAAACCAAATGCTGAATATTAAAAATTTCTTTGAAAATATAATGCTGATTTTTGTTGTTTGACTTCTGAATTTAGTACCTTTGGTTCAATATTTTCATAAAAATAAACATAATTTTCAAATTCTCTTAATTTTTCACACAGATTTATAAATAACCATTGTATTCATATGTATAGCCATTCATATTGAAGTTTTTGATAAAAAGGGTAAAATAAGATTAGGATGCTATTTTACTCATTGTAAAATCTGTATTAAATGTATGCATCATTTACGGTATGTAGTACATTCTGTGCTCTGTTTGTACATGATTCTTACTCAGTTAAGGGTAAGGAATTTTCATCATCAAGGAAAAAGATTCAGTTTATGAAACTGAAAATAGTATAAACAAAGGACAGTATAAACAGAGGACAAACCTCTGTGTTACTGTTCTGTAGTACAGAAATATATGTAACACTTCCAAATAATAGGGGGGCTGCACAAATAAATATATATTTTTACAAAGAGTTAAATTATGTTATTACACAAATAAATACTGTTATTAAAATAACTGAAAGACCTCTATCCATAATTTCATTTTTAGCCCCAAAAGGGCTAGTCTTGAAACACGATTTTGCATTGTTTCACTTTACATTCAAGTCTGTTGCTTTTCGAAAAAACTTAAGATATCATTATTATTTCAGATTTAATTTGATATAATTTAACAAACTTAACTATTTAAAAGCAGCAGATGTAGCTCTTAAGAATATTACTTTTGCATATTCATCTAATATCCTATAAAATGTTTCAATATTCCACCTAGGTCATCTCTATCAATAATCTCTACTAATAAACCATATAAAACTTTAAAAGAGGGAAGCATTAAATCTGAACCCTTTAAATTTTTAAAAAAAATTTCTTTTAACTCATTGCTGTTTTTTGTGGTACTCTTCTGTTATAAGGACCGAGTTCAGAAATGTATGTATATATGTGTATATAGTATATATACACGCGTATGTATGTATATACACATGTGTATATATATACGTAAAATATGACAAATCTTTTTGTTCTGCGCGAACAGGCAACCTATAATTAACTTTCTGCAATTTTAGGATCTTTCCCTAGACCAGTACTTTCGAGAACACTCTGGCATGTTATGTAACTGCTGGTATAAATACTTGTGCATGCCATTTTTCGTCAAATTGCTTTTCCTCCTGCTGCTACAAACTTCACTGCTGCTCATCCCATCTTTTTTTTATTCGAATAGTTATGACATGTAAAATCTAAATTTAATCTTATTTAATTTAAATCACTATTGAATGTGTAATTTTGGAGAATTTCATCTACAGTAAAAATGATCTGTGGTGAGAAATGAATAAAGATGTGGAATCTAAACAGCTAAATTCTTCTTTCTCGTCATTGGATGCCGCCTTACACTCAGCCACAACAATGCCCTGACTCTGATCTAATTATATTGTCAAGCTTTGACATTCCGGTACCTGACTGCCAAAATATTACATATACAAGTTTATATTCATACATATATACACTTATTGAATGAACTGAAATTCATTGAAATCGAAATTTATTTTTTCTAATACTTGTGCAGTAGCTACATAGTAAGATGATGATAATGTATTTATTAAAGAAATATACACGTACATATATGCATGTGCATATACGTGCATGTATACACACACATACATACATACATTCCTGAATGTGGTCCCCATTCTACTTTTTAAATTTCCAATGGATATTGTTTTAAATTGGTTTTGGATATTCAGATTTTACACCCAACAATGCTTTGTGAAACACTTTAAAACATAGCATATTTTATAAATATATTGAGACTTGAATATGATCCAAAAAGTTTTTAGAGAATGGAAATAATAAATACCATTCATGTCTTTGTTAATGCATCTTACTTATTTCATTGTTAAAACAGAAAAATTCACAGAGAATCTTACTTAAGAGAAAAATTGAGGCAAGATTAATTTATTAGAACTTATTAAGGTTTTGAAAAATAGTTGCATTTTCTCCAGAGATTAAGCAGTAGGATCACTGAACACTGACAATTTGACAGGTTCAAATCTCAGTGACGGATTGAATTGGGCATTTTGACACTCCTACCCTTAGGCAGATAATCCTCGAAAGCCTTCAAAACAAACAAAGGAAAATAAGTGCTCCTTGATGTTCATAACTATTCAGCATATCTTAGAGTAAAAATTTTTAATCTGTTTAAATGTAAGTTTTACTACCTAATATAAGATCAAATGTTCAGCCAGAAAAATGAAGAATACTTCATAACCTCAAGATTTGCTGACAAAAAGTAATTATTAAAAGTTAATCATATTTATCTGTTTTAGATGCCCTTCTCTTGATATCAGAGCTTTCAAATGCTTCATAAGCTTAAATCAATTGTTTTAAAAAATAAAATTTTGTTTTATAAATTAAAAAAAATTATTTTTAAAGTAAATATATTTTGGAAATTTTAAATGAAAGAAAAATATCTGGAATGTTTTGAATATATTTAAATTCATGAATTTTTCTGAACATAACAGTGTGACAATGTTAAAATCTAGTGAAGAGATTGCTACCAATGGCATGTAAAATGGTATGAACAAGAGTAAAAGACAATGATACTTTAAAAACTAACTAGAAATCACTGATAGTGAATGAAGACACTAGTAATGCATTCAGTTTTATTATAATAAAAGATGGATTTAATCCCTTAAAAAGTTAGCAACTCTGTTAAAGATGTGACAATATTATTAATAATTTTAATATTAGTTACTGAGTACCTATATTTAAAATAAATTTATCTAGTTATTTGTAAGTAATAATTAGGATACTATCCATTTTTTTTTTTAAATGAACATTTTCCTTTACAATACTTTTAATGCGAACATTCTACATGATGTAGTATTTCAGGTGAGTGTTATCATTTGCTAAGTTTGCAGCAAAGAAAATATGACCCCTTTCAATAAACTTTGGTTGTAATGAATACGCAAACTTTGTTTGCACTGAAAACATTTTTTCAGTTCTCGTGAATTTCAAAATTTCAAGACTTATTTGATATCATATAGAGAATTATTGCCGTAAATAAAAACAAATTTTTACCAGTAATAGCCACTGTGTGACGAGATCCACAACTAACAGCGATGACTTTCAAATCATCTTTAAATTCAATACTTTTTGGAAGACAACAAACAGTTTCAATTTCTGTTAGTGGTAATTTATCACTTTGGAGTTCACTGCAAGGAAATCCCAACTGACCACTTTCATTCCAGCCCCACATGTAAAGATCACCATCATCTTAACAAGAGAAGAAAAAATATTAGCACTGTTTTATTTGCAAAACTTCTCATTATAGTAAAATATTTAAAGCATTATTAGCCTAATTTGCATCAATAAAAAGCAAAAATTAACTAATGAAAATTGTTCATACTGATATTCAAATGTAATGACTTAACTTTTGTTAATAAAAACTTTCTGTACAATTGAACCCAGTTAATGGAATACTAGGTTACAGGAATAAAATACCCATGTGCCCAAATGATGAAACGCTGTGATTAATGCAATAACAAATCGGAGTTATTGGAATAAATCTTAAAATTGTCCTTTTTTGAAGTAAAAGAAATTTTCTTTATTGATACTTACAACACGCATTTGGTTCTTTTTGATTATCTACAACCCCCTGAAAAGTATTCATGAGGCAACACACATTAAATAGGCAACCCATAACATCACCAAAGTATATCTATATGACAGTCCATGTAGGCACAGCAGACAAGCACAGATTTGCACCTTCAAATTTGTGACTTATTTTTTTTTATTAGTGTTTGTTTTTGCATTAAGTATGTCTCCACCCCTGCAAGGAATTGTAGTGGGATTTAGGAATTTGCCAGCTGATGAAAAGAAAGTGTTGAATTTTTTCAGTAATATAACATTTTGCCCATCAATAAAAAATGCAAAAGTTACATTCTATGATATTGTACTTTTAAACATTGAAGTTTAAGGTTCAGATTCTGTGCAATTCTCCAACTTTCAGCGACATTGCTGTGTACATGGGTAGAGCAACAGTGTGTAAAACTCCAAATTTTTGCAAATCTTTAATTTTTTTACGTGAAAACAGATCACAGTGTACATGAGAACAACAGTGAAAATAAGTTACATAAGAATTTTTAAAAAAGGCAAGTGTTTTATTACAGATGATTTTTGCTTTTTAGCCCAAAGGGCAATATCCCAGAAGGGTATTAACAGGGTTCATAGCCACATTTTAGTTAAAAAAATAAGCACCTATAAGCACTTTTCAAGCACATTTTAAGGAAAAAATAAGCACCTGTCTAATTACATTATACACAACTGCATAACCTTAAAAGAAAATTAGACTTGTATTTAAAATATGAGCTATGCAATATTTATTAAGAGAATGAGCATTACCTCAAGAATGAAAAAATTAACTTTTTTTTTTTTTTAAATTTTAAATGACAGTTCAATTTACAGATTAGTTTCAATGAGAAAAAAAAACTTGCAGAACTAAACTATATACAAAATTTAATGATGATATTCAGTTGAAAATATAGAAAAAAATAATAATAAGCCATTTTAATTGGTATTCGTTTGGCACCTAATAATAAATACAATTTATTTTTCCACTCATATAATATTTAATAATAACTTAAATCAAAATTCTGAACATTTTCTAAATTTTCATTGCATAACAGTTTTCCCTTAACATATATCCCAAGCAAAGTAATTTAAGTAATAAAGAGGCACATTCTGAAATCAGAAGACAGGAAATTGTTCATTCAGTCATCCTTTAACAGTAAAAGCTTAACTACCCCCATACTCGAAATTCCCGAATATTCCGTTACTAACTGGAAAAAGGGAGTGGGGGAATTGTATCTGTTCTTTAGATTTCTCGGCTAAATAAATGATTTTGACATTTCGATGTGTGCATCATACAAAAACAGACCAACGGAACTGAGAAATATTCTGCTTAGAAAGCACATTAAAACTCTTTTAAGTGTTCATAAACAAATCTCGGACGAAACATCAAAATTAATAATCTCTGCAAAATACCACAAACGTTATTGCGTGCAATACGTGCGGTGTAATTCTTCCACATGTGATATTTCGCAATCGGAATCAACAGCTGCTGGTATTCGGAGAATAAAGAACTAAATAAAAGAAAAGAGAGATTTACTAATCTGGGGTGTTTCTGATTCTAATTATCAACAGAATGCGTTAAATTTCCGGAATAGAATCAATCTTCACTTGGGTTGGGTACACCGCAAAAACTTTTATTCCTATTCAATCTAGATTGGACAGTGACCCCCCCCAAAAAAAGTCCGTTGCTTCAATATTAGAGATTTTGCGGAGAAACTCCCAACCTCCGTACTGTATAATGTATTGGCAAAGAAAATGAAATTATTGACTATTCGATTACTTTCCTTTTATTTAAGCCATTCCGAATATTATTCCTTAGAAAGCTAATCTGTGTAAAACACACCCATTTTTGGAAGTTTATCTATACTTCAGCAGTTACTGCAACTATACTATTATAATATCATACATATGCTGATAATATAAGCATAACGATCATAATAAACACGAATATGAACTGACCACGTGGATGAGAATGCAAATTTTAAAATCTTGATAGAAATTCAAACATGTGTAGTATTTGGGTGGGAGGAAAAGAACACCGAATGTACCGGAATTTTCTACGTTTTCGCAATTCTTTGGCCAATAGAACGACGTGCACCTGTCTGTACTCTCGCACGCACCATAGGTTACGTTAATGCAGAGGAAGGGGGGGAAAGCTATTTTCGGGAGTATGATTCACCATCTGATGTTGCATATAAGAAAGAAATGTTGTTTATTTAGTTTCGGCTTTGATACGGGGAAAAAATGCGCTTCATTAAAAAAAGGATTAAAAAAAAAAAAAAAGCACTAAAGCAAAATAAGCACTAAAAACAAACAAACAAAAAAAAAAAAAAAAAAAAAAAAAAAAAAAAAAAAAGGGCTTTAAAGAAAAAGTAAGCACCTATAAGGGCCTTTATATTTTATTTTCAAATATAAGCACTTGTAAGGACCACTACGAACCCTGTATTAATTCCATTTTGTCATTTTGCGTTGGATCACTACAAAAGGTCTTAAATCACTTTTCAAATTGCTGCCACCAAACAGAGCCCTGCATTATATTTAAAGAAATTAAAAATGAAGAATCTGCATGAATGTATGTATGTTTCTTGCATTTTGAAAAACAATGGCACCTAGAAACATCAGATTTTGAATAATGCACTTTTTCACTTGAATAGGGGCATTTGGAAGTCCGAATTTGGAATTTGTTTTATTATCCATTTCATGTTTTGTAAAACTTTAATGAATTCTTGATTAACAAACTCAATGATTTCAAAATGTTCCATTAACATCAACATCAACATCACGTATATGTATACATATTTGATGCATGAGGTTTCTTTACATTACTGGTATTATGTTGGTAGTGTAGCAAAAGACGTTACAACGTCCAACGGTATTTTGCATTGAATGACTTTGAATGTCTGTATCACTTTTTAAATCCCGTTTTGAATCCCCTGTGAAAAAATGCCCTTTAGATGTAATATAAAATCTGAAAGAATTCACATCTTTTTTCTAATTTTATTTATTCATTACTGTTTTATAAAATTCTTAGTGCCCCACCATTTTGAAAATGGCTGTTGCCTTTTGCATAGCTTAGTGAAAAATTTATCAGCAACAACATAAATATTTGGATTTGGGGGGGGGGTGGATAATCAGAAAATACCATATATTTGTCCATCAACTGTGAAAGCAGGCAGAGATTCTGCCAAAATAAAGATTGTTCTTTATTAATTAGATAATCACAGATTGCTCTTTATTTAATTAAACAATCAACAGATACAAGTTATGGTGATAGTATATTAACAAAAAATTAAATAAAGAAAAAGTAAATCTTTAAGATTATGGAACAGACAAATTCATCAATCATTCCAGCAGCCCAAATTCCCTTATGCTATTTGAAGCAGCAACAAAATAATAATTTTCTTTGTGAGCAAGGCACCCTCCCTCCCAAAACAAATTAAATATCAATGAAAGCAATGTAAGTAAGTAAGTAGAAATGATCTTTAGGATTCTGTGACAGACAAATTAATTAAAACTCGTATCAATCATTCCAGCAGTCAAAATTCCCATATGGTATTTAAAACAGCAACAAAATCATCATCTTTGTGACCAATGTATTAAAAAAAATTCTCATAAATATGAATGAGATGTTTTTTACAGCACCATTTTATCAAACTTCAGAATCTTTCGATGTTTTCAATAATATGCTTCTGCTTGAAAGTACTTCAAAGCTAAAAAATTTCATTTTCTTTTCAAAATGCAATTAAAAAAAAGAGAGAGAGAAAAAGAAATAGCTGTTAATTTATATTCTTCTTTGCAAAAACAAAATTGGTTTAACAAGGATCATAGATACAATTTTTTTTTTTAAAATTATGTTGTGTTGCCAGGTTTATCATACTGTTTGGTTGTCTGGTGACCATTTTTGTCTGTCAGAAATGGTTGACAAGAAAATTAGTACATACCCCTTAATTAAATTGTTTAAATGTTCATGTGAAGCATCTGTTTCTCTTTCATGACAGACAGATTATTATGCTGACATTGTGGAAAAACACATAATGGTAAAAGATGACTACCAAACATGAAACTTGTTTATTCCATTTGTAAAATTAAAACGCCAAACATTTTGCAAAAGAGGTATATATTACACGGCAACATAAATATCTTATTAATTATAGATATTAATAACAGTTGTTCTAAATGTTACTATGAAGTGTGTGTGTGTGTTTTTCATTTGGACATACTGAAAGCAATGAAATTTTATAATATGCAGGTGTATGAAGGTAAACGTAAGGTGTTAGTTTTAATTTATCTTAAATAGTTAAGATAAATTAGAACTAAATTATCTAGTTTTCAAAATAATATTGAGAGTAACATAATCAGGATATATATTAACACAATTGTGATTTACTTACTACTTATGGCTGCAGAATGCCATCCCCCAGCAGCAATAGCTATAATCTTTATACCATCAAGAGCATCCAGTAATGATGGTTTACCCAAGTTCTCGATTGTACCATGCCCTAGCTGTCCTTTGCTGTAAAATACTGAGAAAGATTATTGGATATAAGTATGTGTAATGTTGAAATAAATATAGATTGAAAGAAGATAAGGTTCTTTCTGATTATCTGTACCCTCTTTCCGAAAAGTCGGCAGATGTTGACGAAAATTTTGCTGCCAAGCTCTAAGATGCACAAGAAAACAGCACCATACTAAGAAATTCATAAAACAGCAACCAGTCAGCAAAATTAAAAATGCAAAAATTTTTGCACTATTTTTCACACCTATACAGCAATCAGTAAAAAAAAAAAAAAAAAAAAAAAAAAAAATCACAATCAGAATTGCACAATCTTGGCACTATATGCTGAGTTGTTCTCCCCATGTACTTACACAGTGATCTAGTTTTGCTTAAAAAAACAAAATCAGACAAGTGTATGAATTCAGCACCATGCAGAAATTTTGATCATTTAAGAAATATACTTTTATGAAATGCAAATTTTTTACATTCTTGTGGTTGGGTAGACCAATGTATTTCTGAAGAAATGAAGTGCTTTCCCCCCCATCAGCCAGCAAACTCCACAGTCTCATTATGATTGCTTACAAGGGGAAAAAAAAAAAAAAAAAAATACCTAAATGCAATGAAAAAAATGCTGATCAGAAAAATCAATCTCGAAATTGAAAGCAGAAATCAGCCCTTGTCAGCTGCATTAGTGTGTATGCAATGGGTACACATAAATGCATTTTAACAATGCCAACGGTTGACTATTTCGGCAATATAGTACATTCCTCATGAATATCTTTCCGGTGGGTATGGATAATCAGAAAATGATAATAATAATAAAATAAAAACATTATGGTACAGTTTTTAAATTTACAAAGTAAAGAAGAATTTGCAAGTGAATTTTTAAAACACTATGCCTTTTTTAATACTTATTTTCCTTTTTCATAATAAAGAAGAGGAAATATTTGTGTCAAGAACAAGAAATATAATTCTTCAGTTGACTACCATTTTTAACTTCATAAATGTTGGGTCTTTGTAGAATAATTTTTCATCATTATTTTTCGTAGCATTCCTGAATTGAATTAAGTTATACTGTTATTAAATTTCCTATAAGTTCTCTAAAAAGTAAAATAAAAAATTAGAGATTAATTTTTAAAATACCTTCAGGATTTCTGCTTCGTACATATTTATCGACCATTTATTTACCGAAATCGATCATTGTTAGTTATTTTAGCAGTTAGCTTTGAAACAGAATTACATGTTTCATACAGTTTTTCAGAAATAATAATAAGTCCTTTTTTAATAAATTCAACTTATTGCAGACATAAACTTTGTTGATTTTGCTTAAATTTGATAAGACATTATAGAGATAAAATACCTGAAATATGTTATTAAGCTCAACATTTTCTAAATTTTAAATAAATACATATTTTAATAGCAAAAGTAATTAATCAATGTATATTGCTCTATTTTTAACACAATTACATATTGGAAAAAAAAAAAAAGAATTAACAACTCATCAAGAATGTATGCTGAAAATAACTTATGTTCTCTTTATTGCAATTATCATTTATAACATATTAAAAGTAACAAAGCTAAAAATTTCTATCAACTTTCAAGAGAATTAAATAATAAAACATAAAAAACTAACATTATAATGTCAAATGTTCATACAAGATATTTGTAGAAAATATTTACTTAATGTTAATAATAAATAAAAACCCTTAAGTATTATGGACATCATTTTTAATGGTGGTACTATGCAAGTGTATCATAAATGTAGAAATCTCTATCATCTTCTTAGATGTAGAAAATAATTTGCAAATATTTTGATTTATAATGCATTATCACATTTTATATATACATTTCAAAGGCATAAGAATAACAATAACAATTAGCCATCAACAAAAAGATGTGAAATAAGTCACTTTTACACTGCATCTCTCTCTCTATATATATATATACAGAGTGCTTCAGAACTATTGTACAGGAATGTGCATAGAAGTTCGAAACATGATAATAGGTAATAGTCACATAAGAACTCAAGTTGCATATGCATTCCTAATGTGCTACATGCTCACACAGGAAGCAGACACACAAAGATGCAAAACGGGTCATAAAGAGGAGTTATTAGACAAAAAAGAGTACAATAACTGTTATGTAAACTATTTTTATTTTTCTGTTTCAATAATTTAATTTTGATGTTAGCATTCTAGGACTGGCAACTCAGAAAGAAGTTTTGATTCTAAAAGTTAAAGTTTAGAGGTTTCTTTTTTTATGTGTGTTTGACATTATGTAAGCTGAGGGTAAATAAAGTCTCCTTTGGCATAAAGATATTATGTTGAAAACGTTATTAAACAAAGAGAGCCCCATGTTGAAGTCATAGAAACAAAATGGGCTACAATAGAAAGTCAATTTCCACAGCTTACAGAAACAGACAGATTTTAATTGAAATTAAAGGAAATGAAGAATATGATGCAGAATATGCAGATATTGAAATGTACAATGAAAAAATAGTTTTGGGGAAATAAAGCAAGAAGTGAAAAAAAGCTACTCAATTAATACTGCTTAGAACAATTCATCACCAAAACTTGATAAAAGGAAACTTAGACTTCTGAATATCTAAATGTACGATGAAAAAATAGTTTTGGGGAAAATAAAAGCACAGAAGTTTTGCAATAATCAAGCTACATCAATTAATACTGCTTAGAACAATTCATCAATTAATACTGCTTAGAACAATTCATCACCAAAACTTGATAAAAGGAAACTTAGACTTCTGAATATCTAACTGAAACAATTTGACGGAGAGGTAAAAGACTAGCTCACATTTTGGAGTCAATTTAAAAGGGTTCATAAAGACAAAATGGAAAAGGAAGATAAATTTTATTACTTATTTCAAGCAATGATAAAAAGGTACCAAAGCTCTGGATACTGTAAAAAGTTTTTCTGCCATCTCAGAAAATTATAAAAAGATTACAGAAGTCTCAAGACTAGGTTTGGGAAGAAAAAACTACGAATAGAATTTTATGTTCACAAGTTGTTAATCTTAGCTATAAAAAATGCTACTGAGAATAAGAGAAAAATTTATACTGCATATTGTACGAGAGATTGGAATTTTATTTAAGAGTTTATTAGAGTCAACTGAAATGACAAGTGATAAATATGCTGCAATAGTCGAATCATATATTCCTGAAGAGATCTTAAGGGTTTGGCAAAGAAACCAGAAGGCTCCTAATGTGAAAAAATAAAGCAATTGTTGTTATTTTTAAGAAATGAAGTCAAAGGAGAGCAACGAATTCACGTGCAAAATCAGGTTTTAAAATATTTTAATCTGCTCCCGAAGATACAGACAGAATCAAAATGAAGACTCGATTAACATGGTAAATGATTCATTTTCATGTGAAAAAGTATCCATAAAGTTTGGTGAACATAAAATTTGTATTTTATGGCATGAAAGTAGATTGTTTGGGGACTTAAATGCCTTTGAGTCAAAGACAAGAAATTATAAAGAACAAAAGGGTTTGTTATCTCTGTTTTAAATTTGGATACAAAGGAAAGCAATTGCAAAGCAAATGTTCAATGCATAATTTGTTCTAAAAGGTATTGGGCTGTTATGTGTCCAGAACTAGCTGTAAATCAAGAAACAGAAAATAAAATTATCAATGGTGATGAAAAGCAAAATATTTCTATAGCTAGTTGTAGTAGTACAGAAGCAAGTGATACAGTGTACCATCAAACTTTAATGATCAATGATGGTGACAAAAGAAGAAAACAAAGTAGTAGGGTACTTATCAATATTTGGATCTCGGCATTCGTATAGCTTGAAGGCTACAGTTGATCAGTTAAAACTAAAAACTATAGGATCTGAATGCCTCACATATAGCATTTGGAGGAGATATGTTAGAAGAACATAATTTAGACATCAAAAGTGTACAGAGCCCTTATTCATACCAAACTAAAGTTCTTGATCAACTTACACTATATATGGATTTATACTAAGAATTCAAGAAGCTTCTTGCAAGAACAAATTAAAGGCTAAAAGCATTAATCCCAGTGACACTCTGAATTGAACTGTTAATAGTGACTGACTTCACTGGAAAACTGTGAAATAGGAAAACTTCGTACATTAAAGTGTGGTCTCACTGCAGTACAGATCCATTTAAGATGGTTAATAATAGGAAGATGAGGAAAGCTCAGTGAAAGAAGTTTCATTACCTCTCATCTCATTCAGAGTGATGATGTCACTAAACCATAGAAACAGGTGATCCTTGTAAAATTGAGAATCCTATAGAATTAGAAAGGAGGGCTGCAGAACATTTTTCTACAACTGTTACCATAAATGTTGAAGGCAGATATGAAATTTAGACTTCCATGGATGGATAATTTAGATGAACTGTCAAGTAGTAGAGAAATTGCATGAATAAGATTAATAGCATCTTAAATGCAATCTTCGGTAAATGCTATAAACAGGTTGTTATAAAAATTTCTAGCGACGGACCAGGTCACTGCCTTCCTTATTGAGGAGTGTTAAAGCCAATTTCACTACAGCTGTCAGACGTGCTCTTGCTGCTTCTTGTAAAGAGGGAATTTATCATTAAAGGATTGTTTGATGAGGATCCAAATTTACTAGAGATAATTCTTTTACTCATTAAAGAAAAGGAAATAGGTGTGATCTCGGACATAACAAAAGCTTTCCTACAAATATGTGTTTCTGTGGAAGATTAAAAATATCTAAAATTTTTAAGGTAGAAGGATAGAACCAAGATCACCAAAGTATTTTACACCGTAGGGTCATCTTCAGCCTGAATTGTAGTTCCTTCTTATTGAATGCTGTTATTCAACACTAGAACAATATTGCGATTTTCTGTTCGAGATGTTGTGGCGAAAAAAATATAAAATTCCTTTCATGTTGACAAGTGTGTCAGTTCTGTGGATTCTAAACAGGAGCTTGAAAGATTCATAAATTGTTCTTCAGAAATGATGGCAGATGCTAACTTTGAATTGAGAGGTTGGAAGTTTGCTAAATTTAAACT